TCATACATTCCATAAAGAGTATTTCCACCAAGAACCTGAGCAGCAATTGGTGACAGATACAAACATGCCCAGTTTTGTATAAAAACAGCATTATTACTCTCAGTTTACAGTTTGTTCGGAAAGAATCAGAAACTCAAAACATGTCAGAACATGTATTTTTAGAATATACAAACTTACAACGAAAGGAGTCGTGGACGTGCTTCAGTTCTTTGTTCCGCGGAAATCCGATCTCTTCCAGGTGTGAATTGCTTCTATACCAAAAAACGGTGACAGTCTCAATCAAAATCTCTGAAGAAAGAGAAAGCTAGAAAGTTTGAACAATCAAACGCTTACCAAGAGTCAAAGCCTCGCCATCAAGCCGATGTAGTGCCAATAACGGCGCCGGAAGGGCGATTAGTTTTTAAAAAAGTCCCCTACGTATAGTACATATGTAAAATAAAAGATGGAAACAATGAAAAAACTTTTGAGTTTGATTTTGTGCCAGACAGGTTTTTATGGTGGACTTTTATCGCCTGACGTTTCGACAAATATCGCCTTCTTCGAAGGCCTGAAAGGGATTGCAGTTTTTGTATTCGTCAGTCTATACGACCAAACCTTCTCTAACTCGCGCGTTCAGACCTTATCTAGATACAACGTACTGGAAAACAATCTGAAGTCAGAGTCACCAATCTTTAGTCCACCGTGGAGTCAGAAGTCAACTGAATGCCGAGGTGTAAAGAAGAGAGCACATGGAAAATGAAAAAACTATTTTTATTTGTTGAAAATTTTACTGATTTGTAAAGTGTACCTGCTCGTTTATCACACTTCGCAACTGTTTCCCATCGAAATATGAGAACGGAGTGATTGAAGTTCACTAATTGATACAAATGTATTTTAGCATGATTTATATCCAGACACACGCTCTACTGTCCCCGCACTCACTGCCGAAGAATTCATGGAAGGTGTGTTGAACTATGGGTTTTATCTACTTTCTTTTACTTTTCAGGAAAGAGCGCTATGCCGAATTTACAACCCGTAAATGCTGCGGCCGCTCAGGCTAAACCCAAACTTCAGGTTTGCTTTTTTTCGAAAATGCTGCAGTTTAACCATCGCACGGTAATATTAAGGTTGCGAAGAAAGCCAACATACTCAATCAACTTACACCCACAGCGTAAGTTCTTTTGTGCTTTACATATAACAGAAAATGCTATAGTTATAGAGCAGAGTCAGCGTCACCCAGGTCATATTCAGAACAGTCATCCCCGCAAGTGTAAGTGTAAAAAGCTTATTCTTTCTTAAGGTTGACATTAGGATAGATAGGTGTAGTGCTTAAAGTTTGCTGTGAAGATCTGCACCACCATCACCGCGACCACAGCAGCAACAAAGACGACCAGTCATTGACGAAGACATGGGAATAGTTCCCATGAGCGCGGTAGGTAATCCTTTGTCTTTTTACTCGCTTTATAGAAGGCAATGGCTCGGCAAGCCTGAGCAGAAATGTTGAATGACTTGTGTACCAAAATCCTTACCATACTTTGACAACTCAAGTTCAGCTCGCAGAGTGCCGCGGTACTTTACTGCCTGCCGTTAAGTATAGAATGTAGGTTGAAATTAGAGAGATTAGGCTTGAGATTAGGCTCCGCGCGCCTGTTGCAGGCAGCGGAAATAGATTGGGGCGCAGAGTCTGGGTCAGGTTTGAGACCCTGTT